ATGTCCTCCTCACCCCTCCTCTTCTCCCCTTCTTATTCTCCTAGCTCCCGCCCCCTCTTCCCGTGCTCTCAATTTGCTCAGGAGATCTTGTCCCTTCCCCCTTCTCCAGGGGACCATGTATGTCTCTCTTAGGGTCCTCCTTGTTTCCTAGCTTCTCTGGCAGTGTGGATTGTAGGTTGGTAATCCTTTATGTCTAAAATCCACATATGAGTGAGTACATACCATGTTTGTCTTTTGTGATTGGGTTATCTCGCTCAGAATGGTTTCTTCTAGTTCCATCCATTTTCCTGCAAATTTCAAGATTCCATTGTTTTTTTCTGCTGAGTAGTACTCCATTGTATAAATGTACCACATTTTCTCTATCCATTCTTCAGTTGAGGGGCATCTAGGCAGCTCCCAGTTTCTGGCTATTACAAATAATGCTGCTATGAACATCGTTGAACAGATGTCCTTATATGAATGTGCTTCTTTTGGGTATATGCCTAAGAGTGGAATTGCTGGATCTTGTGGTAGACAGATTCCCATTTTCTTGAGGAGTCACCATACTGATTTCCAAAGTGGCTGTACAAGTTGGCACTCCCACCAGAAGTGGAGAAGTGTTCCCCTTTCTCCACATCCTCTCCAGCATGAACTGTCATTGGTGTTTTTGAATATAGCCATTCTGACAGGTGTAAGATGGTATCTCAGAGTTGTTTTGATTTCCTTGATGGCTAAGGATGTTGAACACTTTCTTTCTTTCTTTCTTTTTAGGTTCAAAACAATCTTTAATACATTCTGTAAAATTTCAAGCAATAGCAACACAATTGTACTTATATGAAAGTGATTATAAATAAAAGTTCAATATTCTGTCCCATAAAACATACAGAAAATTATGCAGTAATGTTGAATTGGGTGGATATCAGTAAACTTACCCTGGCATAAGCATTTACATTTTAAACATTTATTCCTTCAACTATTGTCAAATTTATCCAGTATGATTTTAATACATAACTTCAGTGTAGTGCTGACAAATACATTGGTGCATATGTAGAGTGTTATCCAACAGTCATTTTGGAAAAACTATTTTATTTCTTGATAGAATGGGATTAACATGACAATGATCATAAGGCTTAGTAACCCACTTATCTAACTGTGAATAAAATATCAACTATGCTAAAATTCCCTTCCAATACTCACATTATAAAGCACCTTATTTTTGTATGAGTATTGGGACAGTTATTCCCTATTGAGTTGGTCTCTTTC